AGTTACCTTTGTGACTTAATGTCTGTGGTAGTCCCTCTATTGATTTTGGTGTATGTGGGGGTGGTTTCTAAGTATACAGTTGTCTTATTTTCATATAATGGTGTTCTTATCCTTTCCAGGTCTTCACTTTTTGAGATGAACTATTCTAATCCCTTTATTTCATAGTTGGGGAAATTGAGGCCCAGAGGGAAGCCACCCATTTGTCAATAGCCAGGCCAAGGCTCTGGGCTCCTGCCTGGGCTTTCTCTGCCGCTTCCTGCTTCCTCTGTGTTCTCCCTGGCAGTCCTATCTCACTCTCTGTCATTTTCAGAGCTTTGGGCCCTCCTGCTATTGGGGGGGAGTACAGAGGGAGAGGGTGCTCACCAGCCCTTGTACAGGCTCTCCCTGCTGGCATTGCAAGGCCCCCAGAGTGCCCTACGGACAGGTTTGGGTTCTGGGCCACAGGCTTTGGGGAGGCTTGGTGGGGATGAGAGAGAGCCAGGGAGAAGGAAGTTGATGGAAGTTCCTGGGCAAAATAGTAGCAATGTGCTACCTTCTAGCTGCAGCCTCCTGCTGTGCCTCCCCCAAGCACTTTGCACATGCGATGAAGACTGGCTGGGTGAGTGTCCTCCACGGTCTGAGCCCCCACTTGCAGGGACTGCTGTGTGCAGGCGGGTGCATGTTGCTGTCTGTGTAATTAAAAATGAGCATGCATCACTTCACCCAGCAAGAAGAAGCCACCACCTCGGTGGGATGCAACAGCTGCTTGCTGGCTGTGCAGCTGCATGGGTGTCCAGCCTAGCATAGAGGGATGAGTTTGTGGACTGGGCAGGTCAGGGTGAATCAGGGGGGACAAGGCCCAGGGTCTCTCATCCCAGTGAGGCAGGAGGTAAGGGGCTATGATGGAGTGGGGATGCTTGGGCAGACCTCTTCCCTTTCTGGGCCTAGAGTTTGTGTAAGAGGTGTGACCTAGCCCTTGGCCTGCACCCATTGCTTCCTTCTTTTGGGAATTTGCAACCACCTCATTCTGAGCAAACCTAGCCTCTGGGCAGCCTGGGTGTTGGATCCAGCCTCAGCTTCCAGCCTGGGACTGACTTCTTCTGTGTTCCATCCCCTCCGCCCCTAGCTGAAGCCAGGGCACAGGCTGATATTTGGAGCGCAAAACACTAAATGAGGATAGTTCAGGTCCTCTGACTTACCTCCCTCCTTCCTCTCCCCTAATTCAGAAAGACCTGCCAGGGGAGGCACTGTAGGTCCTGTGGAGAAGCCTCAGCCCAGCATATTAGTCTGGCCCTGTTGTGGGAGCCCTAAGCTCAGTGGGATGAATTCTTGCCCCCCTACCCAGGAGAGGAGCTCAGCCTGAGGTAAGGAGTGAGTGTGTGGTGTGTTCTCAAGGTAGCTGAGACAGTGGAACTGTAGAAGCCTTATATGAGGTGGGTGATCTGCTCTTTCCCTTGTCTGCCAGCATTCCTGGGTGGGTGAGCTAGTGTTGGTGCAGGGTGGGGTGGTGGGGAAGTGCTAGTGACTGAGGTCTCCTAGAAATTCCTGCATCATGGGTGGTGTCCCCCTCTTGCTTTTGCATGTGGAAGGTCCAGGTGGGAGGGGAGGCCTGGAGGTGTGTCTGAGTGACTGGTACTCTGAATCCAGTTTCTGGGAGTTCCTGGTGGCACCTTGGCATGACTTGCTGACTTTTTCCTATTAGGTGAAGAGGACTGTGGACATCTGCATTTCCCCCACCTTAGAGAAGGGCCTTATGGTCCCCTGAGTCTGTGTGAGGGAGTGAGCTGCTCTGGGTTGTGGACTTGTCTCATGGCCAGTGGCTTCAGCGGACAGATCAGGTTGCCCTATCCTGGCAATGCTTCCACATGCCTCTGGCTGTTTGGGCCATGGAAGGGGCTGTGCCCAGGGCTAGGATAACTCCAGGCCCATTGAGGCACCGATATCCAGCAGTACCAGCCCAGTGTGGCATTGAATGTTGTCCTTGGCCATTGGCAGTCTGCTCTCCAAGGGCTCCCTGAGGCTAGCCGGGGGAGAGACAGCTGTCCTCACCTTCCTCTAATGATTTTCCAATATTAACTGGCTCACTGACATACTGCCCAGGCCATAGCTCCTGCCGTGCAGTGAGGACCTGAAAGCCACTCCATGGTCACCTTCACCTTTCTCAGAGGCTGCACCTGGCTGGGAGGGAAAGGGCTTGTCCTCTCTTCTTGATCTCTGAGGGACAGGGTATATGGCTAGTACTGTTCCTTCACTACTTATCCCCAGCCCCCACTGGGCTCATTCCTGCTCAGTGTGCAGAGCATGGAAAGGACAGGAGTCTTCCAGGAAGGGTCACAGGGGCAACTGTAAGCCCCTTCCCTGCCTGTGGACCTGGGTTGGAATTTCACCACTTTGCCTTCTTCCTGCCACTTCTCCTCTGCCCCTGAGTCTGAATTTTGACAGGACCCAGCATATGATATAATGATTTGGGGCTGAGCAGTCAATGGAATTCTAATTAGTTCCATATTTCCCTCCAGTAGGGAGGACCAGGAGTCCCCAGGTGGCAGGGGGTTGAGACTAGGCTGGGTTTGGGCCTGAGGATGCCCCTCAAGGGGTCTGGGAGCAGGCTTAGACAGCTGGTGCTCCCTGTGTGGGATGCTGTGGAGAGGGAGGGCTGGGCAGGGAAGGAAGCGCCGTGTAGCCAGGCCACAGTTTTCTCTCCATCCTCTGTCTCCCCTGTCCCTCTGTTCTCCCCGATGGCTTTGAGATGAAGGCGACGGCAAGGATGGAGGATGCAGTTTCCATGGCAACGGGGCTGTCCACAGCCAGGCAACTTCAGAGCCGGGCTCTCTGGAGGAGGCAGATGCGCAGAGCAGCCGCAGAGCTGCCTCCCGCCTGCCAACAAAGGGGCTGGCAGAGCAGGTGGCACAGGGTGGCTGCCTGGTGCTGCCCAGCCTAGAAGAGAGGCTGGAAAGAGTACTACTCCCTCTCATCATCCCTATTACTGCCAAAACTCCTCCAGAAGGGTAGCTAGGGAGGTGGCCTGAGTGTCTGCAGGCATTGGGGTAGGGTCCCCGTTGTCCCTGGAATCTCTGGGTGGACACAAGCACTAGTCTTTGGGAGCATCCCCAAAAGCCAACTCTCTGCTGCTCTTGAGATGACCAGTGGACACTCAGATGCTGCCCGTTGGACCCTTTAAATGCCCAGAGCATGAGGATGCTGATTCAGGGATCCCTTTCTTTCCTCTAGCTGCTACCAGGGAACGACCTGGACTTTCTTCAGGGAGCCTCACTGATCCTGGCCTCAGTCACCTGGCCTGGTTTGCCGAGTGTGGCTCAGGTTTGGCAGATGCCTGCCTCCAAGTACTGGCATTGGAGCGGCCCCAGAGCCTGATAGCTCCTGCTTCCTGACATTGTGGTCTTGTCCAGCGTTTTCCTGAGGACCAGGGCTGGGGTGGCATGTGGGTGGGTAGAGAAGCAAAGGCAGCCATCTGTGTGTTTAGAGATGGAAGAAGTTGGGGGTATGGAGAGCACTCAGGTTGGCAAAAAGACTGGACTCCAACTATTAAAAATAATGACTTTACTGACCTTGGAAGCATCAGGGCTATGGGGTTCCACTCTGGGGCGAGCACATGGAAACTTAGGATGCAAGGCTTTGGATCACTCACGGAGTTAGAGGCTGAGCTGCAGCCAGACCTGGCCCAGGCCTCCAACCCCCATGTGGTCTCCTAGATGCACCTTCCTTCCAGCTAGCTGCTGAGGGGTCCTAGCTGGATAAACCTTTCAGGCTTACTTCTCCTTCCCTTTGTCCTCCGTGGGCTTGTTTTTACCCCTCTTTGCTTGCTTTAGTTGGAGGAGTTTTCTGAATCCTGCCTGGGTTGGCCAGGCAGGTGGACAAGTGGAGTCCTGGAGTGGCTTCTCCCCACCAGGCGATAAGTCTCTCATTACTGTTAAGTGGAAGGTTCATTTCAGAGATCGTGGTGAGAGCCAGGCGGGTGCTATAAATAGCTGTGTTGTGAAGGTTGGCGGGTGAGCAGTGACAGGGCAGGGGCCTCACAGTCATCTTAGTGGGTAATTGTGCTCCATCTCAGGAAAGGAGAGGCGGGCTCTGGAGTGAGAGGCACTTGACCCCTGTTCTGATTATTCCTGCCTGCCTCAGGGCAGCTCTGGCATGTGTCTGTGCCCCCTTGCATACATACTGGGGGATGGGGAACATTAGGTTCATTGTCCAGGCAGAGGGAAGTGGACTGCCTGTCAGAACTTGGAGCCCTAGAAGCCGGTACTTCAGCCCATTGGGTAATGTTCAGTGCTAGACCCACTTGTCCTGCCTGCCCCTCCAGCGCAGGATCTGCCTCCTCCCCATTGGCTGAAACCCTGGGCCCAGGATTGAGGAGATGTGGGAACCACATCTGATGGGCTCAGAGGTTGACATAGACTTGAACTAGCAGGAGAATGAATGGGATTTAAAGTGGGGTTTAGCTGGCCTGGAGCCCCTGTCTAGAGTCTGTGGTAACATGTCTGCAAGGGCAAGGGCTGGAGGCCTAAGGGTCAGGGGTACTGGCCTCCTGATGTCTGTGGGTCAGTGTTTTCCAGGGTGGAGAAGAGGTCAGGGCTGGTGAGTCCTGGGATGAAAAGTCTGACAGGTTAGACCTTGGCTTGGGCACATGGGGTCCCTGTCCTAGGGTGGTCCAGGGGTGCTAAGCTTCATGGCTCTGTGAGACTCGTGCTTCTGGAGTAGCCTGTTGATCTCAGACATACACATAGGATTAACAGGACTAGGTTCCTGGGTTCTTGTAGCACCTGCCCTAGGATATTGTCCTAAGGACTTCTGGGTCCTCAGACCACTGCACCCTGGAGCATGAGGCCCTTCTGATATAGGCCTGCCTCCCTCAACAGGGATTTGGAACTTGGAAGAGATTGGGGTGGGAGGCAGAGCCAGCCCCTGGGAGGGAATAGACAATAGATAGTTCCTGGGGCCACCTAGGGACAAGTGAGTCAGGAGACCTGTAGAGCTCATTCCACCTTTTACCACTCTCTGGCCAGGAGCGGAAGCTGTGTGCCCACCCTCGGCTGGAGATCTACCAGCAAGACCATATCCATTTCATGTGCCCACTGGCACGGCAGGGAGACTTCTATGTGCCTGAGGCAAAGGAGATGGAGCGGAAATGCCGGGGGCTCCTGGAGGCCAATGATGCCCACACGGATGGCACAGGTACAGAAGGTGGGGGTATGAGGGTGGGGCCTTGCCTGGAGCCCTTCCCTTCTGGACATCCAGGGATATGGTTGAGGCGGCTCCTCCCTGTCTGGGCTGGCACTGTGCATGTCAGGCAATGTTTGGGAGAGGGAGGAAGGAGACCCTCTTACACCAGGCCCCACATGCAGAGTTGCCTGTTTCCAGAAACATGGATCTACATAGACGTGGATTCACACGTTACCTCCTAGCAACACAGATACAAAGACCCTGCCTGGATTCCCTTCAGATGCAACAGGAGTGCCCTTGGAAATACAGATCACAGACAGCTGGATGCTCATGGGAGGGGGCTGAGGCTGCTCAGGAAAGGAGTCACTTGGGTGGGGCTCATGAGGAAGTATGGTTGGCACTGGATCTGGAAGGTAAGAAGAGGAATAAGATGTTCTCCTATCCCCCAGTATTGCCCCCCACCCCCAAGCCAGCTGCTTTCTCCCTGCCAGAGAACAACCAGGGAGCATGCAGAGGAGAGCCAGGAGATCAGTCCCTGGCACCTTCCACCAGAGCCAGCCCATGCACCTGCTGGCAGCCTTAATGCCCCAGGTCCAGGCCACTGGGCTGTTTGCTGCTCTCAGCCCGTCCCTCTGCCATTACTACTTGTGAGCTCTGGCTGTCGAGAGGCAAGGGGGCCGCTGGTAATATCCCATGTGGTCTCGGTGCCTAATTCTTGTCTGTCCCGATAGAGCCTTGTATGACTCTGGAAGTCTATGACTTCTAGGGGTGGTACAGAGCAATGGGGAGAGGGAGTGTTCCTCTTCCCCTTCTTCTTTAGCAGACTCTGTGCCCATCCAGTCTTTAATAGCCAAGGTCACCCTAGAGAGACATGTGTCAGCAGGGGCTGGGCAGGAGGGTACTGGGAAGCAGTCTCTATTCCCTAGGGGCCTGTGTCTAACACAGTTAACTTCATCTGCCACTTAATTACCTCCATGGGGTACTGCTCCCTTCTGTCTGGTAATGCCCGGCAGACAATCTTCAGTGTCCCTACTGTGGGCACAGGACATGGCACAAGGTCAGCAGGCCCAAGCAGCCCCCAGGGCAGGAAGGGAGAGTGCCTTGACCTTTCTGTGACCTCCCTCTGCTGCCTGCCTCCCTGCTCTTTGGCCCTCCCACCCAGCTTCCTTTCCTCCCATACACTGCTTTCCAGGGGTGTTGAAGGACCACCCGGCACCCACTACAGCTGGCTGCAGCTGTAGCTCCCATACCCGCTAGCTTCTCGGCCTGTACTCCTGCCCACCAGCCTGCCTGCCTACTCCCTGGTGTGGGAACTGAGGAGTCTGCCTACCTCGAATGGGGCCTGTCCTGACAGCCGGGGTGGACTCTGGGTGTCGGCTGCCAGGTGCATGCCACTTATACAGAAGTATATGGTGCATGGCTGCCCAAGGCTTGGCCTGTCCCTGCCTGCCTCCCTGCTGTGGCCCCAGCTTGGGCTGGGAGGTGAAAGGGGTAATTAGCTGCCTTGCTCCTGTTATTACATTGATGTATTATTTAGCTCCGGAGAGGCGATGCATATTTGATCTCTTTGCACTGGCTATGGACAGAGAGGGAGGGTGGGACTGGAGTGAATATCCCCTTCCCCAGCAGCTCTGGGGATTTAGGTGTTGCCCTGCCTTTCCTGGCATCTTCTCCCCAGGGACACAGGCATAGGACTTTGGGACCTCCTACTACGAGGACTTTGGTAGGGCTGTAGGGATGCCACTTCTCTGCCTCAGGCTTCTTTGCTTGAAGTATCCATATGTCCCCAGGGGCTGTCTTCATCTCATCATGCTGAGCCCTGGCCTGAAGCAGGCACCCTTAGGCTCCTTCCTCTGGTCACTCCTAGCCTAGGATCTGGGAGGGAGGAGGAGGCTGGCTGGGAAGCAGGCACTTTCCTATATCTGGGGTCTCAAGAGAGCCATTGGGTGGCTGGGCAGGTAGGATATGACAGTTTAATGGGACTGGGGAGAAACTATCCCCCTCCTTTGCTTCTTTCAGGCCTGTAGCCCCTGGGGCACTGATCATCATTTAGGGAGTGAGTGGGGGCCTGGAGTCCTGACCTCAGGTCAGAAAGGACCACCCATAATTCAAAGCTTAGCCTAGCTTGGGCTCCCCCCACCCTCCTCACATGCCTCCACCCAGGGAGCCAAGCCTGGGGCTCCAGCAAGAACTATGGGCCAGCAGCTTGGCATTTCCAGGGCTTACCTCACCTCTGCCAGTAGGAGGGCCCAAAAGGCATTTTCTAGGGGCCAAATGGACTGGGAGAGCAGATCCCAAATCCCCCCACCCCCAACCTAGGCATCGGCCGAGGCTCAAGGAAAGCTTTAGGCTGAGTCTAGATGCCAAGTAGTCCCCAGCTGTGACTGGCTTGGACTCCATCACCGTGGAAACAGCAGCTGGGGAAGCTGGTCCACCCTTCACCTTATGTGATGTTCAACAGCTGCTCCTCTTCCCCTCACACAGGAAGGGTGGCATATAGGCCTTCTCCCAGTCTGCATAGTGGACCTGAGCTCTTTGTTTCTCCTTGCCACCCCCAGCTTGCATTCAGTGCCTCTGATCTGGGGAGATGAACCAAGGGGTTGTCCCTGGACAGGGCAGGTAAAGAGGCTGCTTGCTTGGAGGATGTATTGGGAATGGAGGAGCAGGTTAGGAGGGCCATCAGCCCAGCTGAGCACTGTTTTGGGGCTCCCCAGCCACCAGCAGAATGCTCTCATAGTCCCCTTTTGCTGCCTTGTGGCTCAGGAAGCACCAGTGGTCGGGGGTGGGGTGGGGTGGGTAAGGGTTCCTCTGGGTCAACCTAGGTATAGGGGGAGAAAGCTCTTAAAATGCTTCATCCCAGCACCCTCCTTCCTTGTAACTGGTTGAGTGTTTCTCAGGACTTCTCCATCCATGTGGGCCAGAGGCCTGGATGCTGCTTCTTGGGGAGCCTTGCGTGGGGGAGGGGGCTGGTGAATAGGCCTCCTGATCCATTCTTCAGTCTGCATGCCCTATGGGCAATGTTTTATAGCTGGCCCTGGACAAACCTCTCTCCAAGCTCGAGATGGGGCTTGGAGAGGACACTATTTGGGTTTCTTTGTTCTACCTCAGCTCCTCACCTCCGGGCTAAGTGGCCCTTAATGGATGTTGCGAGGAGGGCAGCAGTCTTTGTGGGAGTGCGGGGAGCTGAGGCTAATTCAGGGTAGGGAGACGAGTGCACAGCTGCCTGTGCCCCCTCTTTCCCTCTTCCCTGTCAGTGCAGCCCCCATCAGGACAGCTCCAGCCAGGGCAGAGGGCAGCTGGAATGAGCCTCCTGAGCCAGGGGTGGCTGTATTATTCATGAGTGGACTGTGTGTGCTGAGTTGCTGAGCTGGTGGTAGAGAGCCTCTGCCCTCTCCCTGTGGGGGTGGTCCTGGCTAACCTGTGCTCCCTTTGTCCTGGCCATAGGAGCTGACACGATGAGTGACACGAGTTCTGTAAGCCTGGAGGTGAGCCCTGGCAGCCGGGAGACTTCAGCCACCACGTTGTCCCCTGGGGCGAGCAGCCGCCGCTGGGATGATGGTGACACTCGCAGTGAGCACAGCTACAGCGAGTCGGGCGCCAGTGGCTCATCCTTTGAGGAGCTGGACCTGGAGAGCGAGGGGCCTTTGGGGGAGCCACGGCTGGATCCTGAGACTGAGCCATTGGGGGCCACCAAGTGGCCCTGGGAGCCCAGTACTCCTGAAAAGGGCAAGGAGTAACCTGTGGCCTGCAACTTCCTGTGGTGCAGTTGCTAAGGAACTGAGCAGACTCTCCAGCCCTTTTCTTCCTCCACCACCCGGGCCCAGGCTGAGACTGGAGGTGCATGGGGAACCTGACTTCCCCCATCCCAGGCTTCTTGCTAAGCCTTCTCACTGCCCTTTCGGCTCCCAGAGCCGAAAGAGCCAGGGACTGTTTTCTGTACCAGCCCGTGGGGATGCCACCTCTGTTGTGTTTTTTTTCAGACTCATGTTGGAACTTCCAGGACTCAGAATAAAGCAAATGATTTTCTTGTTTCACCTGGATTTGGGCTGTATATTTGTTTGTTAGTTCCACCTCGTGGGGAGCCCTGTGCTGATAGGCTGAGAGTGGGCAGGAGTGCCCCCCAGCACAAGGAGAGGAAGGAATATGGCCAGGTACCCTGGGTTGGGAGGAGGAGAGTTGTTGATCTTCCACTCCCTGCTCTGTGACCCCAATGAGCAACTTCCCCTCCATTGCAGCTGCTGGAGTACAGGCAGAGCAGGGCAAGGGGTGTGGGAGCTGAGCGTGTGGTGCCCTCCAGGGCTCAGGAATAGGGAGCTTGCAGCCTGCCTTTGTCTGCCTCCAAGGGATGCCTTTGTGTCTGTGGCTTGAGCGTGCCTGTGCTCACGCTGGGACCTCCTCAGCAGGTGAGGACGTCCCTGCTGTGCCTGCCAGTGCCCATGTACATGTGCGTGCGTGTGTGCTCATCCATGTGTACACATGTACTCACGTTTGACTCTAACCATGGATGGGGCTGCTGGTGTTGTTCCTGGGTGAGGCTGTACCCAGGTGAACATCAGGTTGTGGTTGTGGCTAGGCATAGTTGTATTTGAGTGGATGGCTGTGTGCCTATGTGCACGTGTCTAACTGTATATGGTTGTATTATAGAAACAGGTGAAGCCAGCTAGCTGGGAGCATCTCTACAGGGGCTTTGTCCATAGACTGCCGTGTGTGGCTGTGTGTAGAACTGTGCATGTATAGTCATGTGTTCATGTGTAAAGCTGTGTTTTGCTGTATGTTTATATGTACACTTATAAAGCTATGGGTCTGTGCAGCTGTGTCTGTGATTACAGGTGTGTATGTGGATGTGTTCATGTATACAGCTATTTGTGGCCATGTTCATATATACAGCTGTGTGCATGTGGCTGTGTCCACGTGTACAGCTGCATGTGTGGGCATGTTCACATGTACTTGGAGGAGGTGTCCACATGTACAACTGTCCATATGGCTATCCATATGTACAGCTGTCTGTGGTATGTTCATGTGTACTGCTGTGTGTGTGGTCATGTCCACATGCAACTGTGCAACTGTGTATGTAAGGTTGGGTTTGTGTCCTTGTGTGCATAGAAGGGATTGGTCGCTGCGTGGCTGTGTGTGACTGCATGTCCATGTGCCGCAGTCGGGTTGTGCAGCTTGCTAGCTGCAGGCAATGTAATGGGCTTCTCAGGCTGGTGCTGTGTGTAGCCATATCTTTATATATAAAGCCCTGTGTCTTTTGTGAAGCTAACTTGGTGAGTGGGCTGGGATAGCTGTGTGACTCTTCTCACCTCAGCACCCTCCTGCTGTCAACCCCTCTGCTCCAGAGGCGGGGCCCATCGCTCACCTACCCCAGGGAGCAGTTGCTCTGAGCCAGCCAGAGAGGGTGTGAGCAGCCGATGGCAGAGCTAGAGCTGGAAGACAGCACGTCTGTCTCCCCAGCCTTGTCTGACAGCTCTGAACCCTCGTCCTGCTGCCACCTTGTCTCCCATTCGTGATTGGGTTTGTGTTTGTTTGGGTTTGATGTGGCTGTTTTGTTTCAAAGCTGCATTGTTTCCAAAGCAGTGGGGCACTGGGTTTCTGTGTTCAGGGAAAAGCTTGTCCTTGGTGATGCCCCCTCCCCAACTGCCACACACACATGTGGGTGTGTGTGCCTGAGGGGCTTGGACCTGGCATGTTCTTCAGCACGTGTCAGAGCTGGCCTTGCTTCCACTGACACCTGTGGAAGAAAGGGCAGTGCCAGGGGAACGTGTGTAGGGATGCTGTGCCCCTTAGCACTTGTCAGTATGTGTACATGTTTGGGGCAGATAGCCCAGGCCCTCACATCTTCCCCAAACCCTTGAGCATAGTCTGGCACTACAGCTTATTCACCACCCCCTACCCAGGGGTGTCCTTCTCTATCCTGTTGTGGGAGGGAAGAGTCAAGAGCCGTCTTCGAAGAGCTGTCCTCCCTCTGCTTGGGCTCCAGCTCTCGCTTCCTCCTACGCAGCAGCCAATTCCAGGAGCCTTTCCCTAGCCCTCTCCCCTTCCAGATCCCCCTGCCAGCCCCAGTGTGTCCCTTGGGGTTGACCCCAGTCCCTGGTTCTGCAACCCCTGCCTCCCATAGGTTGACATCTCTTTGCCATAAATACCCTTTGCACATGGGAGTGGGGATTAGTGGGTGGGGGGAGCAGCTTTAAAGGTCATCTAAGAAAGGGAGGCTCCATCCTCCTCTGACCTCCCCCTTCCCCCGGTCTTTTACTGCTGGTGACTCAGGCCCAAGCTATTATGTGGGGCTGAAGACACATTCCCCCACCTCAGGCCTGGCATGTGAACCGAGCTGAAGTTGCTGGGTGGGGAGAATGAACTCCGCCTGTCTCTCACTTGCCCCTTTATCTATCCTCTGAGATTCTAGGAGCCAGCTCTGCCGCTCTCTCAGACGGGAACCCATAGCACCAAGCGTACCTCTCTGGCTCAGTGACCTTACCCCCCGCCCCCCTTCCTGCTCTCTGGGATCATAGTCTGGTTATGGGGGAAGAGGGCCACGGGGCAGCTGCCCCAACGCAGAGGGAGAGCGCCCGGGGATTCAGCACCACGAAGCGGACAGCTCTGGGCCCTGTGGTCCAGAGAAAAGCAGGAGCAGCTGGGAGGCTCCGGGCAAGGAGCGGTGTGGTGCCTGGAGGGAGGCGGAGGCCGGGTTGGGAGCAGGAGACCCGGAGTGGGGAGGCACGGAGGAGGGGCTGGGGGCGGGCCGGGGCCGGGGCCGGGGGCGGGGCGGGCAGCGATTGAAAGCGGCTGGGCTAGCTGGCGGGCGGAGAGCGCAGAGCCAGCGAGCGAGCGAGCGAGCGAGCGAGCGGGAGCCCGAGCCCGGCGCCGCGCTCCACTCCGATTCTCTCCGCGCCAGAGCCGGGCGCGCCAGGTAGGGTGAGCCGGTGGTGCCGCGGCCACTGCTAACCTTTTCCGCCCTGACCCCACGTCCCGGTGCTCCGCGGGCCCTCGAGTTATGGGGAGCCCGGGCCCGGCCGTCCAGATGGCGCTCTCTGGGAGCTCCGGGAAGCGGGAAGACAGCCCCCAGGCGTCCCACCTTTCTTCCCCAGAGAACGCACGCCTTGCATCACGATCCCCCGTTCCTCCTGCTCCAGCGTCCTCTGGTCCTTCTTTCTGTCTGTGCCTCCGTCTTTGTCTCAGCCTTTCGGGCTTGCTTGCTCCCTGCCCAGATTTTGTGGCCCAGGCCCCCGGCTGACCTACTCCTGGGTTCTGTCCCCTTCCCTGCCTCTTCCCTGCCCCCCCTTCCCTGAGCTTCTGTTTGGGCCTCCCCTGTGGGAGGCTTTCAGTCTTGACTAGTTTTGGCCTCAGCCCCCATCTGGGCTCTTGTCCCCATCTGTGTTGGTCTTTATCCCTGTTTTTCTCCTGTTTGCCTGGTTGAGCTGCTTCTTTTTGGGTCCCCACAGGAGCTTAGTCCCCCTGCCTGGCACCAGTGGGGGATAAGCTCTGGGGAGCTGAGGAGGCAAAGTGAGGAGCTCCAGCCTCAGTGGCCAGGACATGGGGTCCTTGAACTAGTTGCTGCCCTTCTTCAGCTTCAGTTTCCTTTCCTGTTATGAGGAGAGATGTGTGTCCCTCTCTTGGCCTTTCCAAGCCTGCGTGATTTAAGAGCCTGTGTGGGGTGTTTGAGAAGGCAGCTGGGGCACGGACGACAGGATGCAGAGTGGAGGAGGGAGGGAGGGGTCTCTGAGGGTCGGGGCCAGGGTGGACAGGGCCCCGAAGCTGATGATGCAGAGATTGGAAATGGTGACCTTCTCTGCTGGGTTTGGAGTGAAGAGGAAGCGGAAGCACAAAGTCTCAAACAGCATCCTACATAGAGCTAGGAGTCCAAAACTCTCACCCACAGCACTGTTTGGAGATTGTCTCCATCCCTGACACACATATATGCTCACATCTACACGCCTGGTTGACTTAGGACCTGTGGCCACTTGAGTACCCTCCCTGGGGCCAGCCATTCCACCTTGCTGTCACTCCCAGGGCTTAAGGTCTCCATTCCCTCCTCAGTCAGGACACTCTGGGAATGGCTTTTTAAGAACCAGAGGCTAGGACCCTTGGGTGTTCACCTGGGCTCCAGTGTCTCCAGGAGTTGGAGGCTGTTCCTAGAGATTCTTCCCTCTTCCCTGGTAGGTCCTCAGACAGCAGTGCCCCCTCTCTGGAAATTCAAGGTTCAGGATGGGGACTGGGCCTCTATGTTTGTACCTCTGATATGGCCTCTGTTGCAAAGGTATTGACCTCAGGGTCCTGTGAGGTTTGTGCAGGTCTTGGACACCTTTTGTTTCATAGAAGGCTAGATGTTGGCTGGGGTCTCCTGTCTTCTGCCTGTGCCCTCACTCCTTGCCTCCCTCGCCCACTGCTGAGTTTGGTAGGGTTACAGGGCCCATCTCTAGCCCAGATCAGGGAAGGGCTGAGAGATAGGCCCAGGGTTGTCCCAGAAGCTTCTCAGCCTTGTTAGTGACACTACCTCCTCCCTGGCTCCTGAATACCTGGGAAACAGGTGTGGGAGGAGGGGGAGGCAAAGTCAAAAGGGGCAGCTGCTCCCAGGTTCCACTTCTCCCCGTGTGTTTGTCTGTCTCTCTATCTCTCTGCAGGAGCTGGGTCCCTTCTCATCTCTCTTCCTGTCTGTCCTTTCCTGGTCCCCGTTTCCTCCTCTCTTTGCCTTTGCTGCTTCTACCCTCATCCCCTGGAGACCCAGGTCTGCTGGACCCATCCATCCCCTTTGGGGCCATGGGATCGCTGCTTGGGCTCCTGGCACTGCTGCTGCTGTGGGGTGCTGTGGCTGAGGGCCCGGCCAAGAAGGTGCTGACCGTGGAGGGGGACCTGGTGCTGGGTGGGCTGTTCCCAGTGCACCAGAAGGGTGGCCCAGCAGAGGACTGCGGTCCTGTCAACGAGCACCGTGGCATCCAGCGCCTGGAGGCCATGCTTTTTGCACTGGACCGCATCAACCGCGACCCGCACCTGCTGCCTGGTGTGCGCTTGGGCGCGCACATCCTCGATAGCTGCTCCAAGGACACACACGCCCTGGAGCAGGCACTGGACTTCGTGCGTGCCTCGCTCAGCCGTGGTGCTGATGGCTCACGCCACATCTGCCCTGATGGTTCTTATGCCACCCACGGTGATGCTCCCACTGCTATCACTGGTGTCATCGGTGGCTCCTACAGTGACGTCTCCATCCAGGTATGTGGAGGCTGCCGAAATGGGGAGTAGGGAAGGAGGCCAGAGGTGGTGACCCAGAATTCCCACTGAGCAGGGGCTCCTGGACTAACATGCATTGGAAGAACTAGAAGCTTCCTTTCAGTAGTTTTTTTACAGAAGACTAAGAAAGTGCCCTTGTCACATAATGGGGCTGCTTTTTAGAGATTGCAAAAGAAACACCCCACTCCTACCACACATACCCCTGATTTTAAACAATGCTGAGAGACTTAAATAGTCGGGAGTCAGCCCTCTGGATTTGAATCCTGGTTCCCCTGCTTACTAACTGCATGACGCTGGGCAGGTTATTTCTCTTTCTGTGTCACAGTTCCCTCTCTACTTTTAGGTTTGTAGTGGAAATTACTGAGGTGATACATACAAAAAATATATGAAAGGGTCTGGCAAGTCATAAAGGCATGGTCAATATTAGCTGCTCTTATTATTAACCCAGTTTACAGATGAGGAAACCAAGGCTCAGAGAGAGGCATGTCACAAGTCAAGGCAGTGGTGGAGGAGAGGTATGAAATCAGGGCTGTCAGCCAACGGCCCCCTGATCTGTCAGATCATCTCTCCCTGGATTGGAGAGGGGAGGACAGAGAGAAGCTAGGAGTGCCAGGAAGAGAAACAGGAGGAAGAGAAAGGGGCAGGGGAGTGGATGCCCTAGGGTCTTCAGGGGGTGCAGGATTTGAGGAGGTGGGAAGGTGGGGAATCAGTATCCCCTTCACCTCTTGCTGTCCCACAAGGGACCAGCAGAGGGTGCCCTGTTGCTCAGCTTCCGCAGAGGGTGCTGGCCCCGCTCACGTCCCTCTTCTGTTCCTTGGGTTGTGCCCAGCCATGATCTTCCCCCTCTCTGACTGGGTCCCCCTTTTCACCCAGATCCGAGGCTTGACAAGTGCCCAGCATATGCTGCTGGAAGATGAGGCCAGAACTAGGATTGGGGCAGGGGGACATAAGGGAGCCTTGGCTGGGGCCCCAGCTTCCTTTAGAAGGCTGGCTAAGGGCATTGCCATCAGGGATAGGGCCAGGACCCCAACCTGGAACGCTAGTTCAGAAGAAATGAAGCAGACGCGGGAATCTGAACCGTGGAATCAGCTTCTGGCCTGGGGTAGGGGAGGCCTGGCCACTCCTCCACCGCTGGGAGTGGATTATCTGTCCTGCTATTCCCTGCTACTAGAGGTAGCTAGGTAGCAGCTTGGACAGGTGTGGCTGTGCCAGCACCTACATCTGCAGCCCTGGCTGGGGGCAGAGATGGGTGGGCAGCCTCCTACCTGCTGATGTCCTCAGGAGCCTCTGGGATACTTTCCCAGCGTGCCTTTCTACTCTTCCCTTCAGGGCCCCATGCATTTATGTCTAGGAGCCCAGTTACCTCCTTGCCATCCTAAGCTGCCTGCCTCCTGGAGCAGGGCCCAAACCTCAGCATCGGTCTGCTTTTCCCTTGTCCTGGTCAACACAAGGCCCAGTCCTGCATCCTGAGGCCGTGCCTGCCTGTCAGTGACTCCTCCCCATTCCTTGCCCTCTCTCTTGCCCATATCCCTACCATCTTCCATATGCCAGGCACTGTGGCATTACCATTTTTATCTGCTCAGCATCCTTGTAAGGCAGAGATGTGAGAGTGAGGCTCAGGGAGGTTTGCCAACTCCAGGGACACAAAGGTAGAAAGGGTAGGAGTGAGCATCGCACCCTAGATGGTCAGAGTCACAGCTTGTGTCCAGTTGCAATACAGGACTTAGCCCTCTCCTGTGGAATGTGGGCCATGCTCTGCTTTCCTCTACTCACCCTCTACCAGGTCCTTGCCTAGGCTACACTCCCATGGGCAGGCCCCGGGACTTGAAGGTGGGAGATGGGGTGCTGAGGCAGCCAGTGGTAGAGCAGGGAACCTTGTTTATTTCAGGCTCAGGCATCCCTTGAAGACCAAGCCTTGGGCTACCAGGACCATGGGAGCCTCAGATCTGGGTCTTCCTTCCTGGGGAAGCTTTTTACTTTTTTCTCCATCATCCCATCAGGATTGACTCTGGGGAAGGGTTACCTGCCCCCAAACAAGTAGAGAGCTGGAAAGCATCCAGATGCCATCTCATGCCTCCCTCTGCCCCTGGTGTAGCAAAGTGCCAACCTCTCTCTACCCCAGGCCTTCCCGTGGCTCCCCTGCCATGTGTCTGAAGAGGGACAGCAGAGATCAGGTGTGACTCAGGACCATGGTGCCTGGGCCCAGCATCTTCTCTCTCCCAGCATTTGGGAAGGAGTAGAAAACTCCCTACCCCAGGGGGAAAACTCATCAAGTCAGGATGCAGGCCTTTTGCTGACCTTGTGGATAATTGACATAAAAGTCTGTTAGCTATGGGGGATGCATTTGTCTCTGTGTTTGACCTGGCCTCTGATCTTTCCCTCTCACCCCTCCCCCAGGTGGCCAACCTCCTGCGGCTATTTCAGATCCCGCAGATCAGCTATGCTTCCACCAGTGCCAAACTGAGTGACAAGTCCCGCTATGACTACTTTGCCCGCACAGTGCCCCCTGACTTCTTCCAAGCCAAGGCCATGGCTGAGATTCTCCGCTTCTTCAACTGGACCTATGTGTCCACGGTGGCATCTGAGGGTGACTATGGTGAGACAGGCATTGAGGCCTTTGAACTGGAGGCCCGTGCCCGCAACATCTGCGTGGCCACCTCAGAAAAAGTGGGCCGCGCCATGAGCCGTGCGGCCTTTGAGGGTGTCGTGCGAGCCCTGCTGCAGAAGCCCAGTGCCCGCGTGGCTGTCCTGTTCACCCGTTCTGAGGATGCCCGTGAGCTGCTTGCTGCCACCCAGCGCCTCAACGCCAGCTTCACCTGGGTGGCCAGTGACGGCTGGGGGGCCTTGGAGAGTGTGGTGGCAGGCAGCGAGGGGGCCGCTGAGGGCGCCATCACCATCGAGCTGGCCTCCTACCCTATTGGAGACTTTGCCTCTTACTTCCAGGGCCTGGACCCCTGGAACAACACCCGGAACCCCTGGTTCCGTGAGTTCTGGGAGCAGAGGTTCCGCTGCAGCTTCCGGCAGCGAGACTGTGCAGCCCACTCTCTGCGGGCTGTGCCCTTTGAGCAGGAGTCCAAGATCATGTTTGTGGTAAATGCAGTGTATGCCATGGCCCATGCGCTGCACAACATGCACCGCGCCCTCTGCCCCAACACCACTCGCCTCTGTGACGCAATGCGGCCAGTCAATGGGCGCCGCCTCTACAAGGACTTTGTGCTCAATGTCAAATTTGATGGTAATGGTTCTGGCTAGTGTTTCGGCCTGTTGGCTCTCAGAGGATGAGGGGAGCAGGCCTTCAGCTTCCACTACTCAGCTAAGAAAACATAGCATAATGAAAGTAAAGGACTCCCTGGGGTCTGGTGTCAGAGCCAGGACAAGGACAGGTAGGCAGAGAGGACTCCAACTGGAGCCAGGACTGAGGTTCCACTTTCAGAGACCCTTCTAGAGAGTAGACCTCTGGCCTGGTCCTGCCACTTCGAGGGTCTCTGGCTCCTGCTTGGGCCTTGCCCTCTATCTCCTCTTTCCTTATCTTGCCAGAGGTGGAGACCAGAGGACCTCAAGCCTATTCTCAGGCAACAGTGACAGTCAGAATCAGGGTGGGTGGAGGGTGGCCATCAGGATGACACTCTATATACAGGGAAAATGCCTTTTCTTGTTTTTTTTTTTTCTTTTTTAATTTATTGAGAGGATCTCGCTATGTTGCCCAGGCTGGAGTGCAGTGGCTATTTACAGGTGCGATCATAGCACACTACAGCCTCAAAGTCCTGGGCTCAAGCAATCCTCCTGCCTCAGCTTCCTGAGTAGCTGGGACTGCAGGCGCATCATTGTGCCCGGCTTCAGGAAAATTTCTATTCCCAATCTTAAATTTTCTATTCAAAGTGGCCAGAGTCTCCTGAAATCAAAAGTTATTTTAATAAAAGTACCAGTTTTAAGAAACATGAGTGCTTCAAAATCATCACCATGCTTCAGGAAGAATCCCTGTGGGAACAGTGGGAGAGGATGCCAGAGCTGACAAGCTTAGAAGCACTGGCCCAGGGTTAAGATGACCAGTAACTCCAACAGGATTGGCTTTCAGAATTATGCTGAGTCAGGGTTGGGTCTGGGGTCCAATTGGGTTGATGTTAAAAAACAAGGCTAAATTCAGCGTGCTGGGCTTGAGTGGAATGTATGGTAGGGCCAGAGTTGGATTTTGAGAACTGTGAGGCTGAGTAGAAAGAGCAGAGGCTTGGGGGGACACGGGTTTGAATCTAGGCTGCACCATTCACTCATGGGCCCTTACCCATGTCATCTGCATGCTCAAACCCCGATTTCTCCCTGGGACCAAGGATGGCTGTAGTCCAGGCTCCTAGCCGGGCTGGGAAATGCTAGGTTCACAGGTCAGGGAGAATGAGGATGGAGAGTGGAAGTGATTTTTTGAGCTGCTGAGCATATTCTGGTGAATAGCAGTGGTTGCAGGCGACCACTGAGGTTGGGGTTCAGTTTGCCCTGGGATGAGTGTTAGGACTGGTGGGGACTGGAACTGGGGTATTGTTGATAGGATTAGTGGGACTAGGATTGGACCTGAAACTGGATGTAGCCTTGGGGTCTCTGTGTTAAGTTTAGGGGGAGGGCTGTGGTGAGCATTGTGATAAAGTTGGGATTTGGGGCCTGGGCTGGAAAGTGTTAGATACTGGGTCTAAGGTTGAGTTTGGGGAGTCATGGTTGGGGGATTGGTGTGGGCATTAGGTTTGTGGAGATGCCTGGGCTTCAAGGCTGCGATTACATTTGGGATTTAGGGTTGGGGGTTGATGTTGGAGTTTAGGGTAAGAATGTGTTGTAATCTCCTATTTAGAAAAATGGCTGGGGTCAAGACAGGCTCTAGTGTTAGGGTAAGGTTAGGTTTAGAAGGGCTAATGATGGCCTTCGCTCTGGAGTTTGGGTTCCATTTTAGGGTGGGGGGCTGAGGTCACGTGAGGATAACCCACCAGTTCAACCTTCTCTTCTTTGCCTCCTCCATCCCAGCCCCCTTCCGCCCAGCAGACACCCACAATGAGGTCCGCTTCGACCGCTTTGGTGACGGTATTGGACGCTACAACATCTTCACCTATCTGCGGGCAGGCAGTGGGCGCTATCGCTACCAGAAGGTGGGCTACTGGGCAGAAGGCCTGACCCTGGACACCAGCCTCATCCCATGGGCCTCACCCTCGGCCGGCCCCCTGCCCGCCTCTCGCTGCAGTGAGCCCTGCCTCCAGAACGAGGTGAAGAGCGTGCAGCCAGGCGAGGTCTGCTGCTGGCTCTGCATCCCATGCCAGCCCTATGAGTACCGGCTGGACGAGTTCACCTGTGCCGACTGCGGCCTGGGCTACTGGCCCAATGCCAGCCTGACTGGCTGCTATGAGCTGCCCCAGGAGTACATTCGCTGGGGCGATGCCTGGGCCATAGGACCTGTCACCATCGCCTGCCTGGGTGCCCTGGCCACCCTCTTTGTGCTGGGTGTCTTTGTGCGGCATAATGCCACGCCAGTTGTCAAGGCCTCGGGTCGGGAGCTCTGCTACATCCTGCTGGGTGGTGTCTTCCTCTGCTACTGCATGACCTTCATCTTCATTGCCAAGCCATCCACAGCAGTGTGCACCTTGCGGCGCCTTGGTTTGGGCACTGCCTTCTCTGTCTGCTACTCAGCCCTGCTCACCAAGACCAACCGCATTGCACGCATTTTCGGCGGGGCCCGGGAGGGTGCCCAGCGGCCACGCTTCATCAGCCCCGCCTCGCAGGTGGCCATCTGCCTGGCACTTATCTCAGGCCAGCTGCTCATCGTGGCTGCCTGGCTGGTGGTGGAGGCACCGGGCACGGGCAAGGAGACAGCCCCTGAGCGGCGGGAGGTGGTGACATTGCGGTGCAACCACCGTGATGCAAGCATGCTGGGCTCGCTGGCCTACAACGTGCTCCTCATTGCGCTCTGCACGCTCTATGCCTTCAAGACCCGCAAGTGCCCCGAGAACTTCAATGAGGCCAAGTTCATTGGCTTCACCATGTACACCACCTGCATCATCTGGCTCGCATTCCTGCCCATCTTCTACGTCACCTCCAGTGACTACCGGGTGAGCCACCTGCCACAGAGGGGGGAAGGGATAGGACACCAAACTCTCTGTTTCCTGGTGTCTTATTTAATCTACCGATAGCTCAGAGGCTGCAAAAGGTTAAATGCACACTCAGAGGCCACAGCTTGTGTGGACCCTAGGGGAAGGTGGGAGGGCAGAGTGGGGCCTAGGGAAATGGCCAAGGAGGTAGGGAACTTGAGTAGGAGAACTGAGAAGAGATTTCAGAACTCGGATGTCACCTGCCCTGCCCCGCCCCACTGAGAGGCTGGCTGCAGAAGGGGTTGCGAGATGAAGCCTGGGAAGGCAGGAAAAGTGAAGCAAAGGGGCTAGGGGAAGGAGGTCCAGGGTGTAGGGTTGAGAAAGGTTAAACCAGGTGAAAATGTACCCAAGTTGGTGGCTTCCAAACACACTTGGTTCCAGCTGGCACTGAGTGTCTGAGTGGATCTCCTCAGCTCCAAGGGGCAATGGGGTGGTCAGGGAAGGACTCTTTGGGGAGGTGACAGACGAGCTGAGCTCTGAATGATCAGAGGATTATCTTGGTTAATCCTCATGACTCTGGAGTAAGCTCCATGGCTCTCCCATTTTACAGATGAAGAAACAAAGACTGAGGGAGGTTCAATCTCTTGCCCAAGGTCTCAGCCTAAGAGCACAAAGCAGGGTCTGAACTGCAGGAAAATTGAGGTGAAAGCCCTGGAAAAGGCTCTTTCCCAAGGACAGAGGTGTGGTGGCACAGTGCCGGGGGCCAGGGACTGCTGGGCTTGGCTGCTCTGCTTGCACCTGTTGGGCCACCTGCTTGAGTGGTGGAGACCAGGGCTGGGGAGGGAATCTGCTCTGACTCAGCCTGCATTTGCGTATGATTTGCATTCGCATGCCAATCATAGGCAGCTACAGACTCACCCAGGACACAGTATCCACACATGCATGCTCATGCATACACTTGTGCACACACACACACATACCTGCACACATGCAGATACACACATACACCATATCTCCACATGCACACACACATGCATGCACACACACTCCTGGCACACCTGGTACACACACATTTCCCTGCTTACACATGCACCCATACTCATGCATCACATACACACACGTACGCACTTAACCTCAGACATACACCCGCACAGATATACACACATCTACATGCACACCCTCCATACCTGCACCCCCCGACACATGCACACCCCCCATGTGTACATTCACCCCTGCATGTCCAACCCCTCAGCTGGACCTCTCATCTCCCTGGGAAAATGGTCCACTGGGGCTGCCCCTAGGGCTGTGCCCAACCTTCCTAGAAATCCTTTGGGACTTGGCACATGGATCGCGGCCCAGTGCTGGATGCTGTGGTCTCCCTCACCCTTTCCCCACAGCCCAGGCAGGGAGTCTGCGGTCAGGCCCAGGCCTTTGGGACAGACTCATCCTGACCTGCGCCTGCTCTCCCACTCACCCACTGCAGGTGCAGACCACCACCATGTGCGTGTCGGTCAGCCTCAGCGGTTCTGTGGTGCTTGGCTGCCTCTTCGCGCCCAAGCTGCACATCATCCTCTTCCAGCCTCAGAAGAACGTGGTTAGCCACCGGGCACCCACCAGCCGCTTTGGCAGTGCCGCTGCCAGGGCCAGCTCCAGCCTCGGCCAAGGTTAGCATCCTGAGCTCCCCTTTCCACCTGTACCCTCTCTCCCCACCCCAGCTCCTCAGGCATGGGGGCCATTCCTCGGGCTGCTGAGATTTCTTGTCTAGGGGTGGGGTACACCCTAGATGACATGACAGGAGAGGTAGGTGATGCTTCCCTCCCTAGCTCTGCTTCCCCTGCTGCCTGCCCTCCATAGAGGGCCTCAGGGTCAGCCCCAACCTCCAGCTTCCTTTTCCTAGGGTCTGGCTCCCAGTTTGTCCCCACCGTTTGCAACGGCCGTGAGGTGGTGGACTCGACAACATCATCGCTTTGAAGACCCGACACTCCTGCCCTGACATGGCTGCTCCCTGGAACGCAGCGCAGACCCGCGTGCAGGGCCAGGAGGAAGTTGGCTGGAGCACTGCAATAATGCCCATCCTATGTTCGCCCCAAAGTCACTTACCCACCTACTTGCCCCAACCCTTCAGAGTCAGAAGTCAGGGGCCTTGGCCAGGGAGCCTCTGCAATGACCAACAACTGCCCTTGCAGCTGTATCCCCTCCTTGCCAGCCCCAGGGCTCAGAGGGAAGCGAGCCAAGGTCCACTCTGCCCTGGAGCGGGGTGGCTGAGGACTGCAGGCCCCAATCCTGATCAGCAAAGGTGCTTCCAGCCCAGCTCCTCCCCCATTCTAGGGCCTTTTTTATTTTTTATATGTTACTCTGGGATAGGGAGGGTGGTTATTGTGGGGGCCGTTCCTCCTTCTGCACAGTAGTTTGTCCTGTGGTTTATTTTGTATTACCTGTAAATAAAGTGTCTTTATTTTAAAAAAAAAACACTCTTTGCTGTGGACCCAGGGAGGCCCCTCACACCCTCCCCAGCCTCCCAGTGTTCATCCTGCTAGTGTTTGTTGACTCTGCTTTGTGCCCGATCCTAGGACCTGCCAGCCACCAAGACAGACCCAGCCCTGCCTAGAGGAGAGATGGAAAAGGAATAAGTCATGTTCCCTTAAAAGGAGCCACTGCAGACTGGCCTAGGCACTCCGGTGGTGAGGGCAGGAGGTTCAAATGGACAGGCTCATCTGGCCCCCCCGGGGGAGAGGTTTCCCTGGGGATCTGGCCTCCAGGACAGTGTGGGTGATGGGGCAGGAGGGGCAGCTGGCTGTGACCCCGGGAATGACAGGCTTTTCCATGGCTGGCCTGCCTGGCATTTGGAGGAGCCGTTGGTCCGTGTGGAGCCAGGCTGAGCATTTGGTGCAGAGCATGTTCATGGGATATGGCACACATGAATCTGGAAAGACCTGTGGCAAGGGAGGGTGAAGCAGGGAGGGCAGAGGAGGGCAGTTGGAGAGGCCGTCTGCTGTCAGGCCCCTGGTAAGAAGTCAGGGAAGGGGGCCTTTCTCCGGTCCCCGGTGGAGCTCTGGCCTGGTGGATGGGTCGTGGAGGCCAGTGCCCTTGGGCACCTCCCGCATTCGCTATTGGGGCTCACCAGCAGAGGGCGCCAAGGTACACGGCTCAGGCCTGGCAACAGCTGCTCTCGCGTGGCTGAGGGCACCCGGCACCCACCCAGAACATGGCAGCCTGGGGGGAGCCCTGAGACTGCGGGAGCTCCGGGGGACAAGGTCCTGTATTAGGAGACGTGCAGGCCAGGGATGCTTGTTATCTTTGAGTGAGCTCATTTGCATCCGCAGGCTGGCAAGGCTGTGAAAATCTGGGTTTACAGTTTGAAAAATAGAAACAGAAAAATGAAAAAAGAAAATTGTAGGCATGGCTTCTCCTTTCCAGCCAACATCTGGGATGGAGGGATGACAAATACAATACAGAATGCCCTGTTAAATTTGAATATCATAAGCAATGAATGCCTTTTTAGTATAAATATGTCCCACACAATATTTGGGTCATACTTATACTAAAATTTTTTGTTGTTTATCTGACATTCATGTTTAATTGGACAGCCTGTATTTTTATCTGCTAATTTTGGCAACTCTATTGGGGTGATCTCTATTCTAGCTCCCTGGCCCTGAATAACACAGGCCCTGGTGCAGCCCCCAGTGACGGGGCACCAGGGCACTACACCCATGGGACCTGCAGCACCGGCCCGGCTTCCCGTTATAGCCTTTTCCGGGTCTCCCTGCCAAACTGGACCCAGGGAACATCTGCTCATCCTCCCCAGTGCCTGGACAAGCCAGAATGGGGCTCTCGTCCCCTTGTACCCAAAAAGCAGTGCTTCTTCACACCGCGCAGGGGTATTTTCCTTAAAATGTGAAATAACAGCAACAAAAACAAGTAGTAATGAACATGGCGCACAGCTAAAAAGGTACGAAGGGTATTCGGTGAAGAATCTCCTTCTATTCCGGCCATCCATCTAGAGGGAAGAACCAGCGGCCTGGGGGTCAGGCGAGGAGCGCAGGGAGTGGGCGAGGAATTCCTAAGGACCGTCCCGCATGCTGCCTCCCACGCCCCTTTCCTCCGCCCGCCCCCTCAGTTCTCTCCCCCGCACTTGTGAGAGCGGCTCCTTGTTTTTTGTCCTGTTCTCTTAGCAGCTCCAAGTCTCAATCCACGGCCCCCTCCCCCATATTCCATGACCCGTCCCACTCACCCTTACAGTGCTGTGGGCAGCGAGTCTTGGCCTTCACTCCTCAACTCTCAGTCTTACCACATGTCACTGAGACCAGGCCCTACCAGCAGCCCCTACCTCGAGTCCTCCTCCCAGTCCTGAGTGCCTGCGCTTATGTCTCTGGATCTCCTCTGCCCTAGTACCGTGATCCATGTCCCACCTTGGGTCTGCTTATGTTAGACTTGGAGTCCTCGAAGGAGAGCCCTGCCCCTTCTGGGCACTGAGGACCAGAGACGCCCAGCATTTGGGGCTCTCTCCCGCCCTAGGGAGCTACCCATCATGGTGCATTGACTGTCCACCATTGTTACTAACCGGTTGCTTTGCTTGGGTAGCCAGAGTTTACACGGGCGGGGGGCGTGGTGTTTCTCCTATGGCTTTGTTCAAAGACCCCCTGAGGCCCACTTCCATCCTGTCACCTGTGCCTTGCATTGGCCCTGCAAAACTGCAGGGCAGCCATCGGCCTGTCTGGGTGGGCCTGGCTCTGTCTCACTCAACCACGAGTCCTGGCAGCTTGGGTGAGGGTGGTTCAGGCCACTCTGCTCTCAGCTCTCCCCATCTTGGCAAGGCCTGGGGGGAGGAGAGGAACAGTCATGTCACAAGGGCAGCTTGGAAGAGGGATGGCTTCCCACATTTGGGCCCTGTCCAGGAGCAGAGCCTTGAGATAGAATATTGAAATCCAACAGGGAAGTCGATGATGTATTGGGCAGAGGTGCTGAGAACAAAAGGTGGAGCTGACGGATGGCATGGAGCTGGGAATAAGGCTCAAGCTCTGCCGTACCCAGATCCTGAGGTCGCCCACGGCTGCATTCAGGCCAGCGCTATCCTGTCATTGCCCCAGCCCAGCCTGGCAGCTCGCCCTCCTCTCCTGATGTGGGGGGTTGTGGGAGGGATAGGAGGAAGGAAGGATCACCAAGAAGAAAGGACCCCACCCCTCCTACCCCCAGGGGCTGGGGAGGGGTGCGTTAAGCACTGAGAGATGAGACATTCTCAGCCTGGAGGAGGGAGGCCCGCTGTGGGGAAAGCAGGGGGAGGAGAAAGTGGGGTAAGCGTGCGAGGTGGGGGGTGAACAGGGAGAGAAGTGGGATATAGGGGAGACAGTGGGGGGAGGGTACGGGGGCAGGAGGAGGAAAGTAAAACACGGAAGCTTTAAACCCCGAGGGCTATTGCCAGGATGTCAGTTTTTTAAAAAGAAAAATTACTTTTTTCGTTCTGTGAAAACAGTATATGCTCCCTCCAAACAGTTTCAGCATTGCAGAAAAGTACAAAAAGAAAATAAAAGTATTACCTCAAGTTTCATCATTCAAATATAACCGTCATTAACATTTCTGGTACAGCATCCTCAACATATTTCTATGCATTTTTACAGATAGAACGAGAGATAGAAATACTTTCATAAAAATGGGATCATACCATATGTCTATTTTTTTAGAGATTTAATTATACTTGACTCTAATTGAAGAAAATGAATCAGAAGTAAAACTGAAGACATTCTTGAACTTTAGATACATTTATTCACCACAATATATTTTCCCCCTGAAAGATCCCTCCAAGTTTAAGAAACGGGGTGCTGGTGTCAACGCACACTGTGCCTGGCCTTGGACTGTGGAGTGTGTGACCTGTCATTTACACATGGCAGCCACACTCAACCATGGCAGTGAGGCAGGCGCGGTGTTTAAGCACACTTGCGGAGGGATGGGCCCTTAAGCCACCTACTCTGCTATTTTCATGGACATGACTCCTCTCCTGATTTTTTTCTAGAAACTATATAGTTTTACATTTAGGTCTTTGGTCCTTCTAAATTTTTTTTTTTTTTTTTAGCAATGGGGTCTTGCTGTGTTGCCCAGGCTGGGCTCCAACTGCTGGCTCAAGTGATGTTCCCACCTCAGCCTCTCAAGTAGTTGGGATTACAGGGGCACATCACATTAATTTTTGTGTGTGAGATAGGGGTCAATATTATTTTTACCCATATGGATATTCAGTTGTTCTAGCTCTGTTTGTTGAAAAGACTCTCTTTCCTCCCACCGATTTATATTGATACCCTTGCCTTAAATCAGTTGACCATAAATGGGTGGGTCTATTTATGGATTCTATTGTGTCTCATTGATTTGTTTGTTTATCCTAATAAACACCACATTGTCTTAATTACTGTAGCTTTATAGTGAATCGTGAGATCAGGAAGGGCAAGCCCTCCAACTTAATGGTGTTTTTTTGTTTTTTTTTCAAGATTGTCTTGTTTGTTCTAGATCCTTTGCATTTTAATATAAATTTTAGATTTAGCTTTTCAAGTTTTAAAAAATATATCTGCTGGAATTTTGGGGGGATTGTATTAAATATATAAATCAATTTGTGGAAAATTGTAATCTTAACAGTATTGTCATTTGATTCATGAATTTGGCATATCTTTTCATTTATTTTAGTCTTTCTAATTTCTAAGTTTTATAGTTTTCAGTGTCTTATGCATTTGATTTTTTTGATACTATTGGAAATAATATTATTGAAGTATCATTGCATTTTCCGGTTGTTTGTTCCTAGTATATAAAAACACAATTGATTTTTAAAATTGTAGTAAATTATACATAACACAAAATTTACCATTTTAGCCAGTTTTCATCACCTCACACAGTTTTTTTTTTCTTGGTAGTGAGAACATTTATGATCTTTCTTAGTAATATTCAAGTATGCATGATTGTTAACTATAGTCATCATGATGTACAGTAGATCTCCAGAACTTATTTATTCTGTCTAACTGAAACTTTGTACCCTTGAGCAATATCTTCCCATTCCCTGCCCACCTTTCCAGGCCCTGGCAACCACCTTTCTACTCTCTGCTTCTATGAGTTTTGACTTTTTTAGATCTCTCATATAAATGAGATCATACAATATTTGTCTTTCTGTGCCTGGCTTATTTCACTTAGCATAATGTCCTCCAGGTTCATTCATATTGTTGCAAATGGCAGAAATTATTTCTTTTTATAAGGCTGAATAATATTCCATTATATATATGAATAGGACACAGAAAATATCATATATATTTTATATATATGAATAGGATATATTCATAGGATATATAGGAGATACATATACACACATATATATAGTGAATGATGCTGCAATAAACATGGGAGTGCAGGTATTTTTTCAAGATACTGATTTAATTTCTCCTTGGATATATGCCAAGAAGTGGATTGCTACCAAGAATGTATAAGGGATCTCTTTTCTC